CAACATGTATCCCAGTCCTGTCCGGCATCCCAGCCTTAACCTCAACCCCCAGAATTACATGCCGGGGCCGCCTCAGTATTCGGACTTCGCCAGTTACCACCATGTGCCGGGGATTAACAACGACCCGCACCACGGGCAGCCGGCAGCCGCCTGGGGCTCTCCCTACACCCCTGCCAAGGAGGACTGGCATTCCTACGGGACTGCCACTGCACCTTCCACCGCCAGCCCGGGGCAGTTCGGATTCAGCCCCCCAGATTTTAATTCCATCCAGCCCCCAGGCTCTGGACTCCTGCCTCCACCCATCAGCAGCTCTGTCCCCCAGCTCTCCCCCAACGCCCAGAGACGCACACCGTACGAGTGGATGAGGCGCAGCATTCCCAGCACCAGCAGCAACGGTAAGGACCCCCCCAGCCCTGCACCCCTGCGCCTTCCTCCATGCAGGGGATCCCCAGGCTTGGAAATTCCGGGGGGCTGGATCCTGCTCCAGGGCTCTCCCTGCTACCAGGAGGGACAGCATGCCTGACCTGTCCTCGGCATGGCGCCTGGTCCCCAAAGAGCAGGGGGACGCCAGTGCCGAGGATGGACAGGGGAGCGTACCGTCCTTCCGCATTGTCAGCAGCCAGGGCTGCGTGGCTGGAAAGTCCCTTTCCCCAGCCGGTCTCTGCCCCTGCACCCCTGTCCTCACTGGCCACCACCGGGTAGGGTGGGCAGAGCCGGAGACCCCCGGGATCAGGGCCCTGCCAGCCTGAGGGGGTGTTGGACGGGGTGTGCAGCTGCGTGTGAGAGCTGTGTATGGGGTTTGCACACGCGTGTGCAAGGGGTCTTATGCTGCGTGTGCGTGTATATGTGTGCAGGGAAGGTACCATGTGTGTATACGTGGACGAAAGGTGCTGCATGTGCCATGTGTAGGTATATAAGGTGCATTCAGTGCGCGTGAGGTGCTATAGGTGCTGTGTGCGTGTGGAAGGCGCCATAAGCGGTGTGTGTGTAGGGGCTTGTTGTATAGACAGTGTCGGAGTGTGTACAGGGGATGCTGCCTGCTCAAAGCGTGTGTGCAAGAGGGCGCGTGCTGCGGACAGTGCTGCATGTGGTGTGTGCGCAAGGTGCAGCGAGTGTGCAAGGTGCAGCGAGTGTGCAAGGTGCAGCGCGTGTGCATGTCTGGTGCATGTGCAAAGCCGGGTGCGTTTAGGGACAGTGCCACGTGGAGGGTGCATGCGGGTGCCCGGGTGCAGCACGCCGCCCATGTGCACACAGCGTGTGGGTGCCGTGCACCGCGTGAACGGGTGCCCCCACTCCAGTGCCCACCG